ATTATAATATATATTATATTATAATATAATATAATATAATATAGTCGTAATTTTTAACTATTTAAAGTAATTCAATCTTATAATTTATCAAACGTTATTACACTGATTTTAGAACCATCACAACTATTATAATTATAATTTATCAAACAATCAGTTACTTTTTGTAACAACTGTTTTTTCTTTTAGTATAGTTAAAAGTATTTTTTTTTTAAATCTAAAATAATACCAAACTAAGCCAAAGGCTCACACTACAATGGCGGCGACCACTTCTCGCCTAAGTTAGGGTAGGATTTTCAAAATTGGATTATGGGATGTTCTCCGGTAAGCCTTCTTATTAATAGCATGAGTTAAATTTAATTAAAATCACATCATATTTTAGTTTTTTATGCAAATATAACCGCTGAAAAGTATAAAACTTTTGATATTTATTTTTTTCTTATCCAACCAGGGAAACTGTCATCTATCATTTGACAAAGCAATTGGAGTTTCTAATTTGAATTTGAGATCGTTTTCTTAGTTTGAAGACACGAGATTTTTCATCATAGATTTGCTATGTGGAATTCAACATTTTTTTCCCTTTTTCAGTGAGTCTTGCTAATTTATTATAATTAAATTAAGAATCCGTTTAGAATGTATACCTAAATTATGATTTTGACGTTTAAAATTTGAATTTTTTGTGTGAAAAAAATATTGTAAGAGAATCAATAATTTGAATTGAGTATCTAAAACAAATTTCTCTAGTATGATTGAAGAATGGAATATTTAGTTGGAGGATTCAAACCATGATTTGAATCATAATTCATGATTCGCTACAGTGTTTTTTCTCAAAAAAATACACGTAAATAAAAAATAATTCTAATCACATGATTCTAATCCATAGACTAAACATAAAGTTGATAATTCTCTACTTATTTTCTACCTTTCAAGTACTCTTTTAATTTAATATAATTTTAATCAACTGACCTTACCTATTATCGATTGGCCCGCTAGAGAAGAAAGTCTCAATTAAGACCCTATCATTTGTTCTAATTATTTCCAAAGGCTGTTATTTACTATAAATTCTAATTGTTCAGATTCTTAAATTTGGATCCAAGTGTCAAAAGTTCAAAATTTTGGAGATTAAAAAAACAAAAAACAAAAAAAGCCCTTTCTTTCAAAGAAAATTTTCTGTTTAGCTGAAACAATGGAAAATAAAACTAAAAATGATGAAAGTGCAGAAACCAGAAATTATCATTAAATTTTTTTTACAATCAGTCCGTAAACTGACAAGGACCACCATTCCAACCCCCAATTATCCCGTGTCTTCCATGACCCATTCAACAAACTAAAAATAAAGAAAATCAAACCGTAAATTTCTAGGAAAAGACCATAACACCCTCCTCAAATCTTCTGAAGCTTATCAGCCTTGACGACGGGGTTCGCCTTGGCAATCTGGTCTTTTCCCATCCCCTTAAAGTCGAACGTGCAGCCGTGCTGTTCGGGGTACCGGTGGGACCCGCAGAACATCATCCCGCACCTGCACTTGAACCCCGTGAGTCCCACGCGCCTCCTGCACGTCCCACACCTTCTCGGAACCGCCATCACCGCCGGCGCGTCAGCCTCCACGCGCACCTTCTCCTCCGCTTCAACCTCCATGGAAAGGATCGGAGCCGGTGACTGAACGGAAATCGACGTCGACGGAGAAACTGATGATGATGAAGAAGCGGAAGAGGATATTAGGGTCTGGTTGAGAGCAAGCTCTTGCTGTTCCTTGAGCTGGAGATCTCTGAAGCATTTGGAGCAGAGATTCTGCGTCGCCGGACTCCCGAAGAATCCGCAGTTGTTCGCGCACAGACGCGGTGCCTGGCATCGATGTTCTTCCGCCATGGATTTTTCTCAAACGAACTGCAAAGCAAAGCAAACCAAAAATCATTACAAATTTCGAATAAACCTCGATCAATCTCGAATAAATTTGCAAGAGATCAAATTCGGATTGATCGGATCTCCTTCATAACATCGAAAATTTCCACGGATTTTCTTTCCAGGAAAAGTTTTTCTTCCAAAACCAAACAGCGCGAATTGAATTACAAAAAAAAAAAAAAAAAAAAAAAAAAAAAAACCTTCCTCCTTTATTTCGATTTGCTGAGAGATGAGGGATTAAGAGACGAGATCTGTATTAAATCGAAAATTCTTTACAGGCTTTGTGGCCGTGGAAGAGAGGAAATTGAAAGAAATAGGAGAGGAATCGCGTATGCCTTGGAAGGAAAACCGAAGGAATCTCTCCAAGGAAAAATTTATTACATTAATTGGAAAGAGGAAAGAAGAAAAGAAAAAAAAATAAAAAAGGCAAATGTGGTGGTCCGGGAGATTCCTGGTCCTCTAAGAAAGATAAAAGGAAAATTCCAGACTACCTCCTCCGGCTCCTCTCACTCTCTCTCTCTCTCTCTCTATTTATTTTTTTTAATTTTAATGTTCTTCCTTTTTTTTTTTTTTCCTACCAAACGCTGTTTCTCTCTCCTCTCTCTATTACGCGTTAAATAAACGGAATTAAAGCCAACGATAATAATCTTCTAGAAGCCGTTAAAGCTACGCCAGCCAACTTTTGTTTCCTTTTTTCAAAAAAAAAATTAATTTAATTTTAAACTTTTCTTATTGCGGTAATATATAATATTTTTTTGTAATCGTTAGGCTTTGGAATTTGAACCCAACTCGGATGATGGCAGGGTTCAGGTGAATTTGGACCGTCCACTTCGTGTGGGTCCCACCACCGTCCGGGCCCCGCTTGATTTGGACAATCAAGATATCGGCTAACAACTTGGGAAGTAATGTTTGGGGAATGAAAAGGGATTTGGATTCGGGGTAGGAGCCGAGTCACCCTATTCAAGTCCAATTTGTCGTGTGCTTCCAAATTGGAACGAGGCCACGAGCAAAGCAATAACTCCGTCTCCGGCCACTGTAGAGACATTTTTAAAACGTGTGTTTCTACACGGTGAACCCTCTAAAAAGACTCACGGTTAGATTATTAAGAGGATGTTTAGTAGAGAGATTCGTTTCTTGATTCGAATCATGATTTATAGTTCGTTACAGTATTTTCTCTCACAAAAAATTCACGTAAATAAAAAATAGTTCGAATCACATGGTTTGAATCCTCCAACCAAACGTCCTCTAAGTATACGTTTGATTTATTCATTTAAAATTATGATTTAAAATTATTTTTATTTTATGTGTATTTTTATGAGAGAAAATTACTATAAAAAATTATAAATCATGATTCAAAATTAATGACGAATAAAAGAAACAAATATCCTCTAAATTACTTTTTTAACGGTTAAATTTATAAAAAAAAAGCCTAGTAAATTTTTAATACAGACATATACATATTAAATAGTTAAAAACTTAATCTAACAGTTAAAATAATGTATTCTATCAATAGATTTTTTAAGAGGTAAAGGCTCTCTAAAAATATTTTTTAAGTTGTTACATATTTTTAACTAATTGAGGCAAATGTCATTTTTATTGATTAATATATATTTATCAGATGTAAATAATTTATTTATTATTAAATACTATAAAATAATTTTATTTATTTCGGATAAATATTTATTTATCAAATACATATAAGTTTTTAATAGTTAAGTTTTCATTGTTGGTTATGTTGGTTTTGAAAATGATTTTTATGATGGAAGTGTATATCTAGCGTATCGTGTATAATAAAAAATTTTCATAAAACTTTGAGATACTCTATAGATTACATTAATTTATACACGAATAAATTAATTAAATTAATTTATTTACCTAGTGAATGGTTAGGTCAATAACTTGAGTTCTTTGACCACGAACTTTTTTCGCTCTAAGCTAGTTTAGAACACCCGAATCTTTCTCGTCAATTTCTTGAATCTACGAAGACGTGTGTATAGGCACACTTGAAATGAAACGGGATTAGCAAATAACACTCAAGTTTCCCACGAACACTAACACATGCACGACGTGAAATTTGGGAGAAAAATTTTCATTTCTACACTCTATGAAATTTGGCCACTAAGCTAGGGAGAGCAAAAATTATGTTCTCTAATTTTCTGCAATCTTAGAGTAGTAGTCAGACTCCTAAAAAAATTCTAATTTTTATCTCCAAGATAAAGCTTGATAATTACCTCTCACTTTTAATTTGATTTTGAAACAAAATCCATCTCTCATTTATCCATAATGGCTGGCCACCACAAGGTCTCTCTGTGGTAGATGCAATCTGCAGGTAAGGAATAGGATAAAATTCTGCATTTATCCTGCAGCCCAATTTTGACTCAAATTCAAATTCCAATTTAAGTCAAATTTAATTTAATTTGAATTTCAAATTGGACAACTTATCAAATAAGTCAATTGGATAACTTGGGGAGCAAGCAACTGAATTCCAAGAGGATTTACACTGTATAAGCGTGTACACCATGTGAACACCTCCACGTGTGTTCTAAAATTCAAATTTAAATTTAAATAATCACATTATTTAATTTATAATTAATTCTCAATTAATTATTCTTGAGTGTTTTATTTTAGAATTTCATAATTTTAAAATTTTCATTTTACCCTTATTGTCTTGTGGGATTACAAGGACGACGTGGGAACTCATTAACCTATAATTCTAAGCTCCAATAAAATTAATAATTAATTAAAACTCTTTAATTAATTAATTAATTATATTCATTCTAAAAGTTACTCCACTATAAACTTGAAATTACACTCTCGTAATTATAGATATAAATTACTTCTAAACTGTGAAGTATCTGTTTAATATAGTCATTACATATAGATCAATCATCCATAAATAAATCATAATTATAGCTATGTGAAATCCATTAACCTCTTTAATTACATCTTTATCCCTGAGTACCATTGATTCTCTAATGGACAGTGATTCATAAAATAAATTCATGAATCGGAGCTCCTACTAGTCTAAGTACCGAATCAACCCTCAAGAGAATTATTTATCTACTTCTTTCTCAAGAATGAGTGGATTCCATCTTGTATAGTAACATACCCGGCTACTCACATCATCATGTCTCCAGGATACAAAGAATATGATTCAGCATTCAGAATCCGTACCAAGTAAATCAAAAGATATAAATTCATAAATATGAGTATGCTAATAACTCAAAATTAAGATCATTCTATATATGACCATCAGTAAACTCAACTAGAATTTTTATACTTAACGTAAATTATCATAAATTCATATTGTGTCTGTATTCCAGTTCCACATAATCTTATTATGCGTAATACACTCATTCAATATCTCTTCATATTAACAGTGCTGATAACATCGTGTTCCATTTTGAATGAGAATGACATATATTAGTAATGTTTTAATTAAATTTATTACGAACATCGTTTTGATTATTATCTTTAAATATTATCTTCTTGCATATAACATGTATATACAAAAATTAAGGTCACATAGATAATCATGAAATTTTCAGTGATATTCATAAAATATTTAATAATATATGCACATAAAATAATGAATAAACTCTTTTATTAAATAAATAATAAATATCCTATTACATGACATGCTTCTAGGACACCATTCCCAACAGGTTATCCATCAAATATAAAATTTGATGATATGACATGATAATAATCTAATCTTATTAATTTTCATACATTTTTTGATTAACTACCCTATTTATTACAACCATCTGATCAATATCACATGCTTAAAATAATAATATCTACCGATGAATAAATATTAGAGTAACTATTTAAACCACACATTTACCAATAAATATGTTGTTTACTTCAATCATTTTAAAAATATATTATTTACTTAAAAAAATCAAAAACACGTTAAGTATTTATCCCTATATCCCGAATGTACATGTTAATTTAATATAAAAAAAAATGAGACCTTGAATTTTACAACAAATCTCATTTTAGTTTCTTACATTCAAAACATCTCAAAGCTAATCTTGAGCAATATAGCAGTTTGTGGACGTTTGGTTCATGGATTCAAATCTCATTTTGAATATATTTGTGATTGGATCCCGATCGATTGGCTCTAGGTTTTTAATTACACAAGTTTGTGGTTTATATTTTTCTTTAGAAAATGATGTAAGCCATTAAAGGGCATAGGAAATTTTGTAATTTAAATTCCTGAAATTTTTTTTGTTTGGAGCGTCGCCGCCGCCGCCGCCGCCACCGCCGCTGCCGCCGCACGCTACACTGCCCTCCGTCGCCAGCGCTGCCGCCAGCCCCTCCCCTGACAATGGTTGCGCAACACATTAGGGTTTCGAAAACCCTAGCGTGCGCCAGGGTTTTTTGAAACCCTAGCGGGCCTGCAGGCCCTGCCCAGGCATGGGCCGCAGGCCCATGCACAGCGCGCGAGGGCTGCTTGTCTTGGCAGCCCATGCCGCGCAAGGCAGGGCCTGGCCCTGCCTCGGTAGAAAGGGTGGGCTCGGGATTGTGTTGGTAGCCCGAATCGAATTCGGGTGCGGAAGCGCGGTGGTGCGGGGAAGAGGCGGATCGTGTATAACAAAAATTTTCATAAAACTTTTGAGATACTCTATAGATTATATTAATTTATGCACGAATAAATTAATCTCATTAACTTATATATATCAAGAACT